ACTGATTATAATGAGTTCTATAGAATGATATATATATATATATATATATATATATATATATAATGAATCTCTATTATAGATCAGTGGTTCTATAGTATTTTGTCACGCCGCGCCGCTTACGTCCGATGTAGACACGGCGTTTTCCCTTATTAGGATTCACGCTTCGTGCACACCCCCTAAATCCACCCCCACACCTCTCCTCCCGCCGATGTCATCGTCCATCACGATGTTTCACTGTAGACATCGTCCGATGCCAATTTTGTTGACATCGCCCAACCCTAGTCCCATGGCCAAACCAGATGAGAAGCACTGTAATATAATATAATATAATATGAAAAAATGAAGCAGTTATTGCTTATGAATTCCCTTTTTGAGGTCAGTTATTTATTAGGCTTATAATAATATAATATAATATAATATAAAAAACAAATATCTTCAATAAATATTTTTAAAAAATGTGAACGTGAATTCTTTTACAGTTATCTAATCCCCGTGTAGTAGAGTTTGCACACTACTAGACCTCTGTGTGACTGTAAATGTCTCAGAGATTTGTTACCGTTCTGTGCCGATCATCTGCTATTTCCACCACTTAATCAAGCCACTCTCCTTTAAAACATGAAGTTTTATTTCACATGTCATTGCGTTTGCGTTGGCTCTTGTGTTGAGCTATTTCATCCGCAGCCATTAAAGTATTCGATTTCTACAGCAACTGATTTGGTGCAAATCATTCTCTTTCTACAAAACCTGTAAACCGCATTCACCAGTTCTATAGCGACACCAACTCTATACCTGTTTGCCCGAGCATTGCAATTATCTTGCATTTACTAGAATTCAATCAAATGGCCTTTCCAACTAATTTTTGCGTGTGTCCTGAGCGCGGCATATTATTTCTTCTGTGCAGTCGCGACGTAAGCTGCACACCCGCAGCTTAGAGGAAACATTGATGGAGTCTCTCTATGTCACACTACATGCAATCATGCCACAGACTTCTGTTGTTGTAAATCTAATTATATATTTTTGGAATTTAAAATTAGTAATTGCTTTTCCAGTTGAGGTATACCTTAAACTTGTACTGATTTTTGTACAAAGCCAATTATAATAACTACGAACCTGAGTGGTCTGTCCCATAATCCAACCAGAGCACAACCATACTCATCTCTACAATCCTGAATTTCTCTCTCTTTCTTGCTCTGTCTCTCTCTATTTGTTTCATTTTCTCTGCTTGTCTCTCTCACTCACTTTTTCTGTGTGGGAGATAGACAGGAAGAGTGTGTGAGCTTTGTGATTACTGAACCGGCCAGCCGTGATGTACAACTCCTTCTGCTCTGCCAACACACACGTACTGCCTGAGCGAACCAGGAAGATTCCTTTTGTTAAGATGAAAAGGAAAACTCTGTAACATTTGATTTGATTGCTTTACATGCTTGTCAAATGCAAATTGGATGAAATTGGTGCATGCTGTCAGACTTCTGCTGGTGATTCATGCTGCCCTATAAACGCAGCCTTTCACGCTCATTTTTACACAGTCCTGAACGTTAAATCAAGATGAACCACATAAATCAAATGTTAAACCTACGATAAGATCAGACCCACCTGCAGGTGGCTCTGTTCAGGCCGGAGTAGATTGAACGTTTCTTGGCTGCATCCCTTGGAAATGTCAAGCTGAAACAGTTCAACTTTCTCATCAGCTTTTGTCAGACAGAGGGAGAGAGAAAGAGAGAGAGAAAATTACATAAATAAAAAGAGGCAGGTTACAATCAAGAGTGGGAATTGATTTTAGAAGCCTATTCAAGCAGAACACCACAGAGAGCTAGCACATCAAAACAGAACAGTTTTGATTAGCTTGACATGCACAGCAGCACGTGAACACACACACACACACACACACACACAAATGTGTACATACACAAACTAAGACTGCAAAGCAATGAGAAATTTTAATGTGGACATTCACTTTGGCTTGCATTTTTCCAGGAAATTCTTCATTCAACATTCACTGGTACGCGATCATTTAGATTCCGAGATATAACATCTTGTCAACATTTTCTGCTAATACTCATTTTATATGGATAAGATGCATTTAGATTTAAAAAAGCCAAATATCTTGTCTATTTTGCAGTCACTGTATTTTTTTTACTGCTATTACTGCTAATCCCTGATTTTATCCCACTTCTTCATTCATTAGATTATAATCATAAGAAACTGATGCATTATCCAGCCATGACTCTTATCAGAAAGAACTACATTAAAATCTAGTCTGGAATCTTTTTTAATGATAATTGATAATACAATTATAGGAAAAACAATATTAATCTGCAAGTTTCCACCCACGGCGCCGTCATTTTGATTTCGCAAGCGACAACGGTGTACCAGTTCTAATGCCATGGCGAAAGTTTGAGCAAAACATGCTAACTGTTCTGTCTTTGGCTGCACAAACGAGCACAGAATACTATTTAGAGTCCCAGCCTCAGAGATGACAAGAGAGCAGTGGATTAATTGATTTATTTACTGTATATTGCTGCTGCCACACAGATCTTAAATAAACATGTGATTTATTTCCCAGCTGTTTACCTTCACAGACATAACCGATTGTTTTTGTAACTCATGTGCATTTTTTACGTAAACTTGTGTGTGAATGAGAACTTAGTTTAGTACTCACATGCTGTGACAGCCGCTTTCTGTCCGTGTGCTTCGGATTTGTGCGCTCAGAAAACTGTATATCAGAAGTTTAAACTAATATTGTTTAAAACGCATGATTTCAGCACGATAAACATGATAATCAGAACCAAAACATATGTTTTTTAGCAGTTATGAGCTGTAAAGGCACTTCCCTATTCTAGAAAAGAGGGTGGGGAGCAGCAGCTCATTTGCATTTAAAGAGACATGCTTTAATACAGCGTGTTTCTGCTTCCACCCAGAATAGACATTTTCGAAATGATATAAATTATGATCTGTGGGGTATTTTCAGCTGAAAATGCACAGATACATTCTGGGGACACCTGAGACTTATATTACATATTGTAAAAAGGGGCATAATATGTCTCCTTTAATGAAAAATAAATGACTGTGATAGTTCATGTTAACTGTCCTGCTTCAGTTTAAATACAGGATTCAGACGTGGGGCAAATGTTGCTTCAGCTTTTGTAATGGTTGCATTATAGAATGTGATGTGAGAGAACATAGAAAGACAGATTATTGAAATAAAAAAAATCACCCGGAGCCTCATTTATAAATGTTGCGTATGCACAAAATGGGCATAGAAATTGCGTATGCAATTTTCCACGCACATATCGGGATTTATTAAAAATAAACTTGGCGTAAATATGTATGCACCATACGGACATTCTAGACAATGCGTACGCACTCTTTTTTCTGGAGTGAGAAAAGTAATGAAGTAGGCCTAAACAACAATTTTAAAATCTGTTTTCATTTCGATATACACATTTACATTAAATATTCCACTCTCATTAATGGAGATAAGCACTAAAATTACATAAATTCATTATGCAGAAATTAAACAAAAATTATTTGAATTGACATATTTAGTGAATGCGCTTGATTACTTTTCCTGTGGCATGCCGTTTTAATGACAGCGAGGAGTGCTATAGCTGCACAATAATTCATCTTTAAACTAAACTGCAGATCTCATGTTATGAGAAAATATTTTAGTGAGAACAATGATCAATGATGCGCACTTAATTCGATATTATGGCAGACACTTCTGGATTCAGTGGTCAAACGGTCCATTGTCCGGTTTGAATAGGCCCAATGATAATAGCTTACTGTACAACCGCAGCTGCACGGAGGTGATGATGGTGTGTGACGGCATCTCCACAACATTATGAAAAATACCACTGTATTTGAAGGATACAACTTGAAGAAAATTGTAATTTGCATGTTTTCTTTTTAAAATAGGCTACTTTGTCAGTGACACGCCGAGTCAGACAATTCTATTTACACAGCAATAAATATAGGCTAAAAATAGCTAAAAGATGATCACCTTATCAGCAAAACTGCATAAATTAAATTTGATTTGAATTGTTTAAAACAATTGAAATACTATTTGGCCAGTGGAAAAGAATGAGATCAACTCTATTCTAAAATATTTATCTGAGAACTATTTTAAACAGTTTTGTTTTTATGGATTTTGATATATTTATGCTAAAACATAACAAGGATACTGGATGATTTTTAGCAATAAAAATTGTGTATGGCACAAATGGCATTTATAGTCCGTATCTCATATTTCCGTAATGTCTTCTACCTTTAACGGTGTTAAATATGGTGTCACGTGGATGGGAATATGCATGGAAATGATATGCAGATGAGGTTATGCATAGTAAAACTAGCGTTGTAAGCTCCATATATGGTGATTTCGGGGTGGAGATGCACATACACACAATCTTCCCGACTGGGATTTATAAAGGGATTTTTGCGCCGGTTCTGGCGTGCGCATGTTTTTATAAATCTGAAAACTTTTGTGCATACGCAAAATCTAGCTTTTGTGTGTCAGTGGTGTATAAAGTACCTGAAAGCTATACTCAAGTAAAAGTACAGATATCCTACCAGAAAATGACTTTGGTAGAAGTTGAAGTCACCATTTAGAATATTACTTGAGTAAAAGTCTTAAAGTATGTGATATTTATTGTACTTAAGTACGAAAAGTATTTTTTAAATCTTAAACATACTTAAGTATTGAAAGTAAAAGTAAATGCAAAATGGAAAAGAAGCAAATAAATATATATATAAAAAAAATTGCATACATGGCTTGAGTAGCAAGATTGTGTTCAGTTTTAACTCTTTCTTCCATTTTGTATTTTTGGGTAAGAATAAGAAGCACTTCATCCGGTACTTAGTGTCTTTCATTCCAACGTAAGAAAACAATTTTGGAATCTTAAACATTTAGATGTATTTACACAGTTTATGTATCTCAAAGGGGACATGGATGCATTTAACCTGCAGTTACAGATGGATAAATAATGTTTTGTTTTTAAAACGTTGAACGTAAAACGTTGAATACTGATATTTGAAATAATTTAAAACATGTACAAAATAGTAGAACTGTGAAATTAAAACCACCAGTAGGTGGCAGCAAGTGACCGTTAATGAGTGAGTCGTTGAGATTCAACCGATTCATTCAAACAACTGATTCATTCAGGAACAAAGCATTTGACTGTGTTAATGAGTGAATCACTGAATAATTTTTATCAACTGATTTGTTCAAGAAGCTGATTCATTCAGTAAGTAAACACTGTCCATTGCTCAGAGACGCAAAACAGTGCTTTGATCTTTGGAACTATTTTCGTTGGCAAAATTTAGCAAAAACAAGCAATATTAATGTAAGTCACTTATTGCTTTACTGAACTTGTATAAAATTATTATTAAATGTGTTCATGCTGATATTTGCAGAAAAACGGTAGGCTACTCTTTGTGTGATATAGATTAAGTTAACTATATTAAATTATATAAACATACATATAAAAGCATACAGAAGCATTTTTGCCGTCTACAATTTAGAATGCATTGAATTTTGAGTTTTAATAGACTAATAAATCACGTGCGTGCACTCTCTTTGATATACTTGATAATGTCAGATCGCACATCATTACAACACTTACCATATTATCGCAGACGATGCTGTATCGCACACCCCAGACTCGAAAATGAAATAATCTGCGGTTGTGCGTGCAGCCGCGCACTTTTTTGCACATGAGCAAAGGTGTTTTTAGTAGTCTAACTTGCAGACGGCAGACCACTGATTTGTCAAACCTGCTTTCCTGCAGTCTGTGTTCTTCTGACTATTTTGTAGTAAGTAACGAATACTATTTTGTAGTAAGTAACGAATATGCTTCGGGGAAATATATCGGAGTAAAATTATACATTTTAATAAGTAAATGCAGTGGAGTAAAAGGAAAAGTTGGCTGAAATATAAAAACTCAAGTAAAGTACAGATACTCCCAAAAAGTACTTAAGTACTGTAACGAAGTATTATTACTTCGTTACAATACATCACTGGTATACGTACACTTTTAGGATGAAATCTACGGAGAGTTTTATAAATGAGACCCCTGGGCATTCAGAGCAAAGGCAGCAGGGACTTTGGCAGACAAAGAAAGAAGGGATCACAGCACAAAGGTGAGGCTCTTAGAAACAACAGAAGAGACCAATTTCCCATGAGTGATGAAGTATTTGCTGGGCTGAAACCTCAAACGACTGTTTAACAATTCATATTTTTATTTTTCATGAAGGTGACTGACTTATTCATGCCATGTAGTGTCTTGGGATAATTTAAGATCTGATATGACAAGAACAAGATCTCTCTCAGCTTTTTTGATCTGCAGCTCTTGAGCATAGACCGTTAAAAAAAAGATGGACGACACGTCTCCACCTCCTTCCACTATAGAAAAGTGAAGCCAAAGCATCTCAGTATGGCCGCTGCCATCTTGAGTAAATGACGTAATTTGGAGCCAGAGTCTGCGCAGTAGAGATTTGTTTGGATTCAGAGTCTGCGCAGTAGTGTCATGAGGCGGAGCCGCGTATCAAACTCCCGCAGACCCAATCAACCATAACGACATGCCCCATTTTTATACCATCAAATTACTAGCTAAAGTCAACCGTATCACAAAAATGAACAATTGAACATATATCAGCGTGATAACAACTACCTTAAATGACCAAAACCATCTTTCGGAAAATTGTATTAGAAGTGTAATTTATTTTTTTATTTCGACTCAAGTCCCATTCGTTTACATGGAGAGGGCGGGGTTTATGACCTGTACTGCAGCCAGCCACCAGGGGGCGATCAAAGAGCCCGCAGCTTCACTTTTCAGGACGTGTGCGGCACACCCGTTCTTGAGCGGTAATGTTCAAGCCTTATACACCTTTTTCTTGTCGTAAAAATGGGCGCGGACATTTGTAAATTCTATGGGTCTAGCTTCCGGTCTCATCTGCATCCAGCTATTTTTAGCTGTACAAAACGGTTCGTTTTGCTGCTTGATATTGAAAATTGGTGTCTTATCATATTATTTTAATGTATTATCTTATTTATGAACACACTGGTTTGTAGTGCAAATAGTTTTACCGTTTACTGCACTTTGTTATTCTTCTTCTTATTTACCTATAGCGATACCTATAGTTAATGACGTAAAAGTAAAAGTAGAAGTCAGCAAAAATATTATTATGAGTAAAGTACAGATACCCCAAAACTTAAGTACCGTAACAAAGTATTTTCACTTCGTTACCATATATCACTGACTGTGAGACACTGAAAACATCATGATCATGAGCCGTTTGAGTGTAAAAGAACACAGTGCCAAACAGTTCAGTTCAAACACGCAGCACATATTTTAAATTAAATTGCATCCTTTATGATTCGATAATTGCACTAAGTTGTTTGGTTTCGAATAATTGTGCAGCCCTAGTGAACTTTCTTCACATTGTTCCTGGTTAGGAACGGAGGAATCTTGGTAGAGGCAACAATCTTGACACACTGCCGTCATGCCGGTGAGTTATGCATGCACATACCACTTTGATTTTCTTCAGAAAAAGTAAAAATCTTGTCTGTGTGTGTGTGTGTGTTTTCTCAGCAGTGGTTGACAAGCTGTAATCAGCCTCAGGATTTGAGTCCCTGCAGGGGGGTTTTGTTGGTATTTGCATCAGGCAGTTAATGAAATGATCAACGAGAGAACAAAGAAACAAATAAATCAAAAGCTGAACAGAAGAAAGGCCTCCAATGAGGCCTAAGAAAGCTGTTTCTTTGTGTTTGCACTATTGATGGCCAGATGTTATAGATTGTAACGTCTTCGCTTGGCTCTGGTCGATGTCATGCACGGCATCTGATATCCTCCTATTTTCTTCCAATGCCACATTTGAGACTCACACCCGAAGGATTAAAGCCTTTGCTGAAGGCTTCCCACTGACCACAGGATATAATGTCATCTCATTCCTGACTTTAATGTGTTCCCAGTGGGTTTACACTGTCCTCTGCATCAAATCCGGCAGTGTTAGCTGGGCTTTGCCACTTTTTCAGTTTCCAACAGGGTCAGCTGAGTTGCAAAGACTGAACGCTTGATCAATCTAATTATGGCTTAATTAGGGAGCTTGTTCTAAACAGAGTACTTCACAATAACATGCCAATGAGAGCACCTCAAGACAAGTGTTTAATCGGGGAGGCATGACTACACAACGATAGAACTCTGCACTGT